AGTTTACCTGAATATTCCTCTGATATCAACCTCGCGTACTGCAGCGTTAACTATAGGTAACATAATCTCTGGTTTACCCAACCCAACCAGAACAATACAACCTCCGGACTTTGTGCAGAATATTCCAAATCTATCAAATAGTAACTATAGGTAACATAATATCTGGTTTATCCAACCCAACCAGAACAATGCAACCTCCAGACTTAGTGCAGAATATTCCAAATCTATCAAATAGCTCCTATAGGAAATAATTTAATAATTAAAAAAAAACTAATTCTAAAACTTATCCACCCCCAAAGTAGGAGTTTTGAACGTCGAATTTGCGCTCAAACTCAGGTTTTACAGATAATATGTCCCAAATGAATTCGAAAGAAGTTTTCCACAACACTGCATACTCATTTCAACTACAGTGAAACCCTTAATAACAAATATATCGGAAGAATTTATCAAATGTCGTCTTGACAATTTTTCAATGAGTTTTATACTATATTACGTAAATTTCAGTATTTGCGAAAATGAATAAATAGCCATGATTATGTGGGAACAGTTTTAAAGAGTTCCATATAATCATTTAATTAAAAAACTAAATATCTGCAACATTCCATTATCAGAAAGTGAAGAATACGACATTTGATGAATTCTTTCGATGTATTCGTTATTAAGAGTTTTACTGTACCTTACATAGCCGGTCACTCCCTTTAAGTAAAATAAAATATATTCAAAATTTAAATCTTAAAAAACCTTTTTGTTTGTCACTTTTAAGTGCGTTTATTTTCGATATTTATCCAATGGTTTTTTTTGTGTACCTAACACTAGCCTCTACTCCACTGCACTCTATTGTAACATCAGGTTTTACCCCCAGGATACTTTCAATATCATCAGACATCTCTTCAGGGGTCTTCTCTCCTCCAACCTTCAAATACAGGTGGTACCAATAAACATGGGATTTAAAGACGACAATGCCGGGGCGTCTGTTTAAATTTCTAGAGATCTTCTATTCGCAACAACAACAGTTTCCATTAAACGTTTATCCAATGAATAATGTGAAGTATATCTTTTTATTTTTTAACTAGGTGAAGGGCCCGGCGTTGCCCTTGGAAAAAAATTAGCAAAAAAAAATGTTGAAAAAAAATATTTTAGAATTTTTCTTTAGAAATTTTGAAAAGAATGCTCTAATTTTTACCCTATAACACCACCCCTGATTGTCCACAAAAATATCAGCCCAATCAGTCCAGACGTTTGGCCGGCTAAAGGCATTTGTGGATTTTTCTAGAATGTAATTGTTTATCTCCAACCAATACAAAAATAAGACATTTTTTCTATTTAGACCGGCCATTAACCTGCCAGGCTGCCACTCAAAGGAATTATGCCTTTGCCGCAAACTCAAAGATTCCAATTCAAATATCTTTGCAACCTGATGTTGTAAACCTTTAAAACTTAGATTATTTGATCTAACAGAATTCATAGTTTGGTACGATATTGTGTTGCAAAGATATAGTGTTTAGCTATATATCAACGTTTGTGGCATAGACTCAATTAATTTGGTTTAGCCTTTTGGGCGTTAAGTGGACACAACAAAAAAAGACTTAAACATACAAACCTTATAAACATGAGTTGCTCCCATTGCTTTAGCAGCTTCTAGCCTATTCTCCATAACATCAGTTATTATTATCTTAGAGGCACCCATAGCTTTAGCAGTCAACACATTTACAAGACCTAAACCATAGATTGATTAAAATAACAGATAGGACACTAGATGTCGTCTTTTCAAGATTTATATGCGTTTCGTTCAAAATGTCTTGAATTTATACAGAGAGAGAGCCTGTTCTACGCCGACTACGCGAATCTCCTTTGAGCTTCTGTCTCAGGGTTATTGTGCACGAAACACAAATAAATCTTGAAAAGACGACGTATAGTGTACTATCTGTTATTTTAATTAATCTATGGTCTAAACAATAGATATAGTGGAACCAATAAAACTGTGGAAGAAGAAGATAAGAAGACGACATTTAAACAACAAATGTATATATAACACTGTTATAAACCACATAGTTCTACTGTACCAGTGAAATTGGTCTGTGTACACCTCACAATTGCTGTATTTCATACAATAAAGACGACTTTTTCTATTTAGGTCTTGATTTAAAACAATTATTTTTTCAAATTACAAGATTACAATAAAGCATGTTAATCTTTGTTTCCATTTTTATTTAAGCTGTTAATTGACAGCTTCTCTTTGTTTCCATTGTTATTTAAACTGTTAATTGACAGTTTCTCTCTGTTTCTATTGTTATTAAGGCTGTCAATTGACAGCTTCTCTGTGTTTCCATTTTTAATATAAACTGTTAATTGACAGCTTCTCTTTGTTTCCATTGATAATTTAAGCTGTTAATTATCAGCTTCTCTTCGTTTCCATTGTTAATTTAAGCTGTTAATTATCAGCTTCTCTTCGTTTCCATTGTTAATTTAAGCTGTTAATTATCAGCTTCTCTTCGTTTCCATTGTGATTTAAGCTTTTAAAAGCTTGGTATTAATCAAAATTGAAATGGAAAGTCGTCTTCATTGCATTGATACGACGACCACTAAATTCTGTTTTTGACTTGTTAAAATCAAAACAATTGAGTCCACAAGGATTTCAGTTTTCTCTTTTTTAACAAACAACTTTGATCGGATATACTTGTGAAAAAAAACAATTAGTTAGTTTAACTATTTTTTTTCTTTTCTAAACAGAAAGGTTCGCTAGTTAATAAAATTCCAATTTTTCCAAGCCATGTCATTTTGAGTTTAACAAATTTCAAAATTGTTTTTTTTTTCATGGTACTTTGTCCTTCCTTTCCTGAACAATAATTGCTTATCTATATTCAGTACGTAGTATGTACCGGATACAGTACGTAGTATGTACCGGATACAGTACGTAGTATGTACCGGATACAGTACGTAGTATGTACCGGATAAAATGAAAACTAGTCATTTAATGATCAACTATCTTTGATAAATATTTTTAATATTTGTTTAAATGCATTTGCATCGTACTTCAATGTTTATCTTTAAACTCTATGTGAGCATTAAACAAAAGTATCTGTGGAAAACAAGTGTTTTGAAATATTTACAATTACATCTATATATAAATTTGGCTTGTCTTGGTGTTTGTCTGTCTGTCTGTTTGTATCAAATAAGCGTCAAAACGGCTGAACCGATCGGGCCCAAATTTTTTGTGGGACATCTAGGGACCCCAGGGAAGGTTTATGAATGATCAAAATTTCAAATATGTGTCTCCATCAAAATTAGATCTCCATTAAATCTTTTAAAATTTTGAAAATCCACGAAATTTTTTGTGAAAATCCGCGAATTAATTTTGTTTTGTTTTACGATGTACACAAAGAGAACATGTTCACAATTAATTTAGAAGATGGGCGCGAAGCGCCTTATAAGGCTAGAAAGAAGGGCGCGAAGCGCCTTGAATTTCTAGTTAACTTTAAAAAGCTTTATTTTCAATCATGTCAGTTTTATTTCTAGTTTTTACGTATTTAAAATAATATAAATGATTTAAAATATTGATTAACTTTAGTACTGTATTGTACAGTACTAAAATGTACTGCAATATGCTGTACTGAACTGTACTACGGTGCTAATTAGAAAGACTCCGAATTAATCAGACGACTTTACATTATAATTTTACAAATACGATTGAAATCACAAACAGCCCTAGTCCTGCCATTTCAAAAATGTGGTCTGCCTTTTCTGAGCATATACTATAGTGTACTATACTGTACTATACTGTACTATACTGTACTAGACTGTACTAGACTGTACTAGACTGTACTAGACTGTACTAGACTGTACTAGACTGTACTAGACTGTACTAGACTGTACTAGACTGTACTAGACTGTACTAGACTGTACTAGACTGTACTAGACTGTACTAGACTGTACTAGACTGTACTAGACTGTACTAGACTGTACTAGACTGTACTAGACTGTACTAGACTGTACTAGACTGTACTAGACTGTACTAGACTGTACTAGACTGTACTAGACTGTACTAGACTGTACTAGACTGTACTAGACTGTACTAGACTGTACTAGACTGTACTAGACTGTACTAGACTGTACTAGACTGTACTAGACTGTACTAGACTGTACTAGACTGTACTAGACTGTACTAGACTGTACTAGACTGTACTAGACTGTACTAGACTGTACTANTACTATACTATACTATACTATACTATACTATACTATACTATACTATACTATACTATACTATACTATACTATACTATACTATACTATACTATACTAAACTATACTGTACTGTACTGTACTGCAGTGTCGTGTATTTTAGGTTAATATATTGTATTGAACTATACTATATTGGACTGTACAGTACTGTACTGTACTGTACTGCAGTATCATGTAGTATAATATAATTTTCTAAACTATACTATTCTCTAATGCACTATATTGTACAGCAGTAGATGTATTTTAGTGTTATATAATGTACTGAACTAAACTACAGTACAGTTCTATACTGCAGCATCATGTACTTTACTGAAATAATATTTACTGAATTGTTTACTAACCTATTGGTCCTGCACCACAAATGAGTACATTCTTGCCAATAGAAACTCCAGCTCGTGTACAGGCATGCACACCTACAGCCAGGGGTTCCATTAGAGCACCTTCCTCTAGACTCATGTTAGCTGGAAGCTTGTAGCAGAAATCGGCAGCATGTGCATAATACCTTAGACAAATAAAAGGAATGAGACTTCAGAGACGACTTTACAAAATCATTTCTTTCTCTGTGTTAACTTGCTTTTTTGTAAAATGTTTGTATAGGTTTATATTCAAGTCTTATCCTTTGTGGGTAACCAACGAGGTTAAAGTATATAGAGTAATGATGTACGCTAATCCTTTACTAAGTGTATAGGCCATCAACTATAAGGAGATTCTAGCCTAACATTTAGTATATCAATATTAGTAAACAGGTGTAAGTGTACAGTACAGCTAACTGAGCACACAGGTAGATAAATATCATCCCCCCTGGATTACACAATGTTTGTTGGAAACTCATTGTACCTGCTGAGATTACGTGTACAGGAGGTGTTGCACAGAACCGATTGTACATACCCTTCTTACAGAACAACTGTACCTGCTGAGATTACCATGTCCGTAAGGTGTTGCACAGAACAGATTGTACATCACTGTTAAGTCAGGTTCATTTCAAGAACCAGTCCGACATCTATCCAGCTAGAGCGAGCTGTACAGTACACATACAGATTATACCAGACAAAACGGGACGGTGCACCAAATGAACCAGCCTGCCTCTTCTAGGGAAATTCACGTACGCAACATGCCCTCTTTTGAGAACAACTATACCATGGACAGGAGCCGAGGTGTGGCACAGAACTGCATACCTGGGTACAGGTTGTACACACCCTTCTTACAGAACTGCATACCTGGGTACAGGTTGTACACACTCTTCTTACAGAACTGCATACCTGGGTATAGGTTGTACACACCCTTCTAACAGAACCACTACTGTACCTGCTAAGGTTACAATGGACAGGAGCCGAGGTGACGTAGCAAATAACTGTATATCTGTACACAGTTGTACACACCCTTCTTACAGAAAAACTGTACCTGCTAAGGTTACCGTGTACGGGAGGTGTGGCACAAGTAACTTCTTTCAGAATAACTGTATCTGCTAAGGTTACCATGTACAGGAACAGAGGTGTGGCAAAGAACTGTATATCTGGGCACAGGTTATATACACCCTTCTTACAGAACAACTGTACCTGCTTAGGTTACCGTGTACAGGAGCCGAGGTGACGTAGCAAAGAACTGTATATCTGGGCACAGTTGTACACACCCTTCTTACAGAAAAACTGTACCTGCTAAGGTTACCGTGTAGAGGTGTGGCACATGGAACTTCTTTCAGAATAACTGTATCTGCTAAGGTTACCATGTGCAGGAACAGAGGTGTGGCAAAGAACTGTATATCTGGGCACAGGTTGTACACACCCTTCTTACAGAATAACAGTACCTGCATAGGTTACCGTGTACAGGAGCCGAGGTGTCGCACAGAACTTCATATCCGGGCACAGGTTGTACACGCTATACACCCTTCTTAGGGAAAAACTGTACCTGCTAAGGTTACCGTGCACGGGAGGAGTGGCACAGAACTGCATATCCGGGCACAGATTGTACACACCCTTCTTACAGAACCCGCACATTCTGCACGGTACACCAGGCTCTACAGCCACACGGTCACCAACCTCACAAATAAAAGGACTATCGACAAATTTTAATTAACTCTCTATTAAAAAAGAATGATACACATTTTCAATATTAGTTAATATATTTTTTTTTCCGTTTCTGATATAAAACCATGACTTGCGGATTTATGTGACAGAGAAAAGAAAGAAAATTGCAGGAATAGTGGTTTTAAACCAGCTAATCATGGATATACATCACAAAAATAAATTGTGAATCGATGTGCATGTACAGTGCATGTACAGTGTACAACTTAAAATTGGAAGGACCAGTTGACATTTCATTAACAATTCTTTTAACATAATAAAGCAATCAGAGGCGTATTCAGGAATTTGTCCAGGGGGGGGGCTTAAATTTTTTATCTTTCCAGGGGGAGGCTCAGCACCCGTTTGGGCCTGAAAAACCCCTGAAATCAATAGATGTCAATGCTCCAGGGGGGGGGGCTTAGCACCCATGGCCCACCCTGAATACGCCCCTGAAAGCAATATAATTTTTAATAAAAAGTCAACATTTTTTCAGGATCGTGCAAAATTGAGTCTAAAAAGTTTTAAAAGTAAACAAATTTACAGACAATGAATTATAGCCACACATTTTATCCTCAGGTTTTCTCATAAAATTCTTAATAATTGATAATTTCAAATATTAAATGCTTCAAAGTAAAAAAAAATGCATTTTAAGGTAAAACTGTCAAAACAAATTTGAAATAAAAAAGTTGTGATTATGTTTCTAAAAGAAATTCTCAGACAATGAATAAAAGCCACATATTTTATCTGATACTAAAAAGAACAGATTAAAAGCACATATTTAAAAAAAAAAAGTTCTTGTTGTGAAAATTTTCGTTTTTTCGCAAAATTTTGCTTAAATCTGTTTCGCTAATAATGCTAAGTTTTTGCGAAATAAGAAATGCGAAAATGTCGCGAAAAAAATACGGAATTTTTCATCAAACATTTATTAAAGTTAAGGAAGAGAAATTTTTAATTATGATAAAACTTTTAAAGCTGGGCTCTCAGAGTAGAGAATTCAACAAGTTTTTTTGCGCAATTAATTGTTTTCGCAAAATTTCGCTTAATTAATATTCGCGAAATACGAATGTATGCGAAAGTTTTTGTTAGCTGGAAACCCTACTTGAAAGTAAAAATCAGATATGAAATCCACAGAGCTGTGAACATGTTTCTAACCTGAAGATGAGAAACATTAGCCCCAACCTTCTCTACAATACCAGCAGCTTCATGCCCCAACACCATAGGAGCTTTCACTATAAAGTCTCCGATGGCTCCGTGAGTCCAGTAGTGAACATCTGAGCCACAGATACCAACAGAGTCCATTCGAAGTAAAACCTTCAACAGAATATTCTTAAATTTGGAAATCTTTATTGTATTGTATAATATTTTTATTTTGATCTGATGATTCTTAAATCCATTATTGACCTAATTGTTTCCTAATTGCGTGTTTGAGGATTTACGAGAACAGTTGATTATCTAAATAATCCGCTGATAATTTATCAGAGCAGCTAATTACTTAACGGATTAGCTAATTATTACCCAATTATAGCTAATTGTTTACAAAATAAAACTAATTATTTGCCAGATTAGCTCACGATTTTATTGTTAGGCTAATGATTGACCAGAAAAGCTGATTATTTAAATGATCAGCTGATAACTTACTAGAACTGTAATTTTTTAGCGGATTAGATAATACTTTACCACATCAGCTGATTATTTACCTGATCAGATGATTTTTTTACAATATCAGCAGATTATTTACCAAATCAGCTGATAATTTACCTGATTAGCTAATAATTTACCTAATCAGTTGATAATTTACCTGATAGCTGATAATTTACCTGATTAGCTAATAATTTACAAGTATAGCTGATAAATTACCAGTATAGCCGATACATTACATGTATAGCTGATAAATTACCTGACTAGCTGATATTTTACCTGATCAGCTGATGGTTCAGGAACAGGAACCTGCTCTAACCGGATGTCATCAACTTTATACAAAATGGCCGTCAAGTTGTCACTTGCCGCCATTATTTTTCTGAAATCATATTTTAAATAAGCTGAGCACAAAGATGTCATTATCGATAGTTTTTGTAGAAATGAATTTTTTTATCTTGTTGGAAAACATTCTGGTGATGTTTTTTTGGTGTGGCTTGCACTTGAATATAATGTTCAAAATCCACCTTTAACAAGTTTTCGCACAATGTCTGTTTTGCGGTCACGAGTTTCTGCGGAATGACCACAGCTGCAGAAATAAAAAAAATTAAAACTGATTTATAGCAATTAACTTTACACATTTTTTATCCTTTTTGGATGATCATTGCAATATAAGTTTGACCAACTATATTGAAGTTGATTTCATCTAATATCTAGAATGTCGTCGTCGTTTGAGGCAAACTTTGGGAATATTTGAGTGGTAGAAGGTGCGCTAAATTGTGTTCCGTGTTAAAAAAGGGCATTATTTTTTAATATAAAATATTTTTTATCGGTTTTTAAAATCGAATTTAAAGGATTGAGCTAGACATTATTCATTTTGTAAACAACGAATTAAAATCTTTTTTTTTACTAGCAATGAAGCTTAGAAGTTTATGAGCAAACAATACTGTACTATTCTAATAAAGATGCCCACCTTTGAGATATCTTTAGATGTATTTGTTGATGAATTCTGAAACCAGCAAGCCAAAAATACTCAAAAAAGTTAAGTACAGTAGGGTACTATGAAAAAGGAAGACGAATTTTCACACAAATCTCTATTTTATAAGAGAAAGATTTACCGTCCCGTTGTCCCGTTTCTATGTAAACTGTAAATCTTCCTCGATAGCTGCCCTTTTGTCGGTAGGTATTATGGTAAAGTTGGGCTAATTAACATGAAATATAACACATACAGACCTCCACCCACTTGAAAAGTTTTTTTAAAAGCTACTTTTAAATCTATTTGGCTAAAAAACAGCATGAAACATACATAAGATTGTTCAAATATCGTCTTACTATTCCATAGTGTTATGTGCCCCACTGTACACTCTAAAGAACAATGCAGATATTGTATAAATCCGTAATTTGCCAAGTTCTAGAGAATCCAAGTTGTAAGATATATTACAGCTATTTTACTAACTTTAGGAAACAAATGTGGCCTTTACAAAACTAGAGAAAAATATTAATAAATCTAGAAAGAAAACATATGATAAACAAAACACACATGTTTTTCACAGAACGCATATTTGATAGCAGCAATGTTTTTTATTATCCAGTTTTATGATGTTTTAACGTGGTTTCAGTAAAAATATGACATACAATTTTAGAAAAAAGCGTTCACATACAACTATTATTTTGCACGATTTGATATAAATTTATTGACAAAAAAGAGCTGAACACTTGCAACACAATGCAGTTTCCAAATTTTTCTAATTGTTACAACCTGATGTTGTAGACCTTTGATATTTCAAACAATGAATGTGGCAAAACTAAAGAGTCAAAGTTAAACTATCTTAGGTTTACAACTTTACAGCATCAGATAGCAGGATATATTAGGTTTACAACTTTACAGCATCAGATAGCAGGATATATTAGGTTTACAACTTTACAGCATCAGATAGCAGGATATATTAGGTTTACAACTTTACAGCATCAGATAGCAGGATAACAAATTAGTGACCGAGGCGAGTTTTTAGTTTCTTTGCTCTGTAGTGGAATTAAGGTTCTTGTCTTTTAGGGTTTTAAATTGTCATTTATAATAACTAATAAATCTCAACATAAAATCTTTATATTGGTTAAAAAACGTCTCGTCCTAGTAAAATTAATACTCAGTCCCTAATAAAAAGCTGGTTTTTTTGGTATGCAACAATTTTCATTTAATCCTGACCCTTTTAAAAAATAGGACGGACCCAAAAATCATTTGTAGGATATATGAGGATCGTCTGGTGAAATATAATAGCTGAATCAAAAATACCCAATAATTGTTAATGAACATTTTCAGATGTCGTCAAATAGTTTTCTAAGGTTTTATGAAATGGGATATGTAGGATATGTAGGAAAAAATTGGATTATTAGAGATGACGACATTGGTTGTTGTCTTTGGCTCACCGACACCGCGTAGAATTTACGTAAATTTTCGGATGCGCTATCTTGCCCTAAAGTATAGGTTTTCGGTGCGTACTGCACTGAAGTACAATGACCGAAGATATAGCGGGGTTTAGTGGAGGGCGGGTAAGAAATAGTTTCCCTTTTGAATTTAAATAGACAAAGGGAAAGAATGTGAATGTGATATTACTGATAACTGCACTGATAAATACTAAAAGGGAAAAGGCGAAATGAATGTGATATTACTGATAACACTGATACATACTAAAAGGGAAAGGGCGAAATGAATGCGATATTACTGATAACTACACTGATAAATACTAAAAGGGAAAAGGCGAAATGAATGTGATATTACTGATAACACTGATAAATACTAATAGTAGAAATTCGAATCATGTTTGTTCTTCTCGATTGCTCTTTAATAAAAACGAGTTAAAAAATTGAGAAAAAATGTCACCACCTGTTTTATATAAAGAATTTTTGTACGTTGAGATTTTAAACTTGCCTTTTTCTCCTGACTCTAAATTGGAGTGATTTCGTTGATCTTTAAAAACATTAAATTGCGTATTTACTTGTTCTCTGCTAAAACATATTTTCAGCTGAATTGTTGTAACTACTTGCAAGATCTGTACACTGTGAACTGAACTGATGAGATTAAATCTTGTTTAAGGGGGGGGGGGGGGGTGTAAAATCCATAGCAACAGAAAAGAGCAAGGCAAACGAAGTCGACCCCCTCCCCGGTAACGAAGACGACATATAAATGTATTGCGGGACGCAGGTTTACAGAATTCATTAAATGATGAATATGGCGGGAAAAGTAATTATAAATTGATATAAACACAAATCAATGCAAGCTACAATTCATACAATATTTTTAAATGAAAAGATTATCAGAATATAAATAAATTTTGTTCATTCTCACCATGAAAGTGAAACACAAGACAAATGAATCACAATGAATTTTTAAAAAAAAGTATTGTTCACAAAAAAATAGACAGGCAGAGGTATAGAATCACAGAGTGATGTATACATATATTCTCTACCCAGTAAAAAATAGACAGGCAGAGGTATAGAATCACAGAGTGATGTATACATATATTCTCTACCCAGTAAAAAATAGACAGGCAGAGGTATAGAATCACAGAGTGATGTATACACATATTCTCTACCCAGTAAAAAATAGACAGGCAGAGGTATAGAATCACAGAGTGATGTATACACATATTCTCTACCCAGTAAAAAGCATAAACGTTATTTAATAATTGTAATGGGGCCGGGGACCAATTTCAGAGAACTTCTAAGGAATTTCAGGAGAATCAATCACAAAGAACATGTTCTCGAGAAATTTTTAGGAAATTCTCCAAAGCGAGTCATCAAGTTGAATAATTTCAGGGGATATTAGTTCCAAAACTAACACTCAGTGTTAGAAATGGGCCAAATCTGCAAAGTTATCTTTTTCAAGAGTATATATCTTTAAATCCAAGACGAGTAGAACAAAATTACACCATATATTTATAAAAAATGGCTAAAACTATATATTAAAACAGTAAAAGTCAATTTTAAACTAATAATAATGTATGAGAATTAGTTTTTGATGATTCTTGATTTCATTTTCGAACATAGCCCTATTTTGAAACAATTACCGGAATTCATATCAATGTCAATGTTCAAGTATTTACGCACTTATGAAACAAAACAAGATTTTTTGATAAGATCAAATACAAACAAAATAGAAAATAAAAACAAACTGTTCTTTTATAATTCAAATATCATCACAGCATTTCGAAATCAAAATATTAATATCATTTGTTATTAATTAATATAATATTTAGATTTAACTAGAAATGCGGGAAAACGTTTGTTTAAAATGCTTGAAAATAAATCATCCATATTCTCTAATTTAACAGATAAAATGTGGAAACTTAGATTCTAGAAATAATTCAGAAGTTAATTTAGTCTTCATAGGATAATTTTTGTTTTTAGTGATTTATTTTGTAAGTTATGAAAGTAAGTTTTGTTTTGAATTGTGGATATACTCGAAACGAGAAAAGTGGTTTTTTCTCGAAAACGCGACAATGTTTCAAATTCAGGATATGTTCGAAAATGGAAAACCTAACATTGTCTTGAAAACAGTCAAGAGCTTTAATATAACAAGAACTCCTATTATAATTTTGATTTTAAAAAGTTTAAAATTTGGAATTGTGGTCCTCGAAATGTTTAATAAAATTGTGGTTATAGTTTTTATTATCAACTTTTACTCTGGATATGGACCGGGATCCAAAAACCCAGTCTTTCAATTTGTGCCCATTTCTAACACTCAGTGTTAGAAATGAGCCAAGTATTAGTTTTAGAAATAATGTCTCTTGAATTTTTGGAAATTCCTCACAGTTGTTACCTAGAAGCTTTCAAGGATCATTCACTCCCTTTACGCCTTTAACGTTTATAAAACAATGAACCATAAAATAAAGATTAAATTTATAGTTTTTTTTAAAAATATTTTTTGACCTTAAAATAAAAAAAAATTTTTTTTTTATAAAATCTGCAACATTAACAAAAATTAATATATATTTTTAATCTAAATCAATTTACCAAAGCTACAGAATAAAAAAATATTTTCAAGGAAAAGATGGTTGGCGGCTTCGTTCTTTTATTCGTTCAGGAAAAAAAAAATTATATTCAAGAAAACCGATCAGGAATTTTTATATTTTCTGTTTTCTACGGTGACTAAAATTGGCAATAACAAGTTTTTAAGTGATATTGAGTATCCACTTCTGAAAGATATGAAATCAAATCAAATCAGTTGCAGGGGATTCAACTAATATTAATCTGCAGTCCCTTTCTTGCACTGATATTAATCTGCAGTCCCTTTCTTGCACTAATATTAATCTGCAGTCCCTTTCTTGCACTAATATTAATCTGCACTCCCTTTCTTGCTCTAATAATAGTCTGCAGTCCCTTTCTTGGGTTAATATTAATC